TCACAGTTTCAGTGGTTAACGCTCGCTGTAAATATAACAGAACGCGAGTAACCCGGGTTCGATCCCCGCCGGCACCAATGAAATTGTTAATTGCAATTTTAAGTGCTGATTTACCACGTGCTCGGCGGTGAAGGAAAACATCGTGAGGAAACCTGCATGTCTGAGGAATAAGAAAAAAAAATATTTCGAAGACATGTGAAGTTCGTCAACACGCATTTGGGCAGCGCGACGGACACTTCCTTGCCCTAAACCCTCTCAGAAATGAGGGGAGGCCTGAGCCCAGCAGTGGGACGTATATAGGCTGTAACTTTACTTTACTTTTTTTACTATGTATTTAGTGCTTAAAGCTTTATCTTCTCAGTTCAGTATATAAAATTTTAATAGCGCCATCTACTTAATTCTATAGGTGAAGTCATTTTATCGAACGAAAATTGATTGATTCTCACGGTGGTACGTAAAGATTACGCTGGATGGCACAAACACATCATCATCATCATCATCATCATCACAGCCCTTCACAAGTCCACTGCTGAACATAGGCCTCCCCCAAGTAATGCCACAAAGCACGGTCCTGAGCCACCTGCATCCATCGACTTCCTGCATATCTTACCAGGTTGTCACTCCATCTAGTGGGGGTCGCCCTACACTACGCCTACCGGTACGAGGCTGCCACTCGAGAACCTTTCTTCCCCATCGGTTATCGGTTCTTCGAGCTATATGGCCGACCCATTGCCACTTCAGCTTACTAATCCGTTGGGCTATGTCGGTCACTCTGGTTTTACTGCGGATATCCTCATTTCTGAGTCTATCACGCAGAGAAACTCCGAGCATAGCCCTCTCCATAGCTCGCTGAGCGACCTTGAGCGTCCTCATACGGCCAGCAGTGAAGGACCGCGTCTCTGATCCGTAAGTCATCACTGGCAACACGCACTGGTTGTACACTTTAGTTTTCAGAGATTGAGGTATACCTGACGAGAAGATGTGTCGTAATTTCCCGAACGCTGCCCAGCCGAGTTGAATCCGTCGATTGACCTCTCGGTCGAAGTTGGACTTACCTAGTCGGACTATTTGTCCCAGGTAAACGTACTCGTCAACAACTTAGAGCATAGTGCTCCCAACAACTACCGGCATAGGTGTGACATAGACATTAAACATGATCTTTGTTTTGTCCATGTTCATCTTAAGACCTATCCGTTGGGAGGCACTATTGAGATCATCGAACATAGTGCTTAAGTCCTCCAGCGATTCTGCTATAAGGACTATATCGTCGGCAAATCGAAGGTGAGTGATGTACTCGCCATTGATGTTAATACCGTATCCTTTCCAGTCCAGTAGCTTGAAAACGTCTTCCAAAGCAGCGGTGAAGAGTTTCGGGGATATAACGTCACCCTGTCTTACACCTCTCTGCAGTTGGATAGATTTCGAGCTCTGGTTCTGTACTCGGATAGCCATCGTAGCCCTACTGTACAAACTCTTCAGCACTTCGATATGCCGACAGTCAACTTGGCACCGCTGAAGGGACTGCAGCACCGCCCAAATTTCGACGGAATCAAAGGCTTTCTCATAGTCTACATACGCCAGGCAAAGTGGCAAATTGTACTCTTCAGTCTTCTGTACAATCTGCCGCAGGGTATGTATGTGGTCTATGGTACTGAAGCCTTTTCGGAAACCGGCTTATTCGGGAGGCTGGAAGTCGTCGATTCTGCATGCGAGACGATTCGTAATGACTCTCGAAAACAGCACGTAGACGCGGCTCAGAAGGGAAATCTGTGTGTAGTTCTTCAAGAGAGCGTTGTCGCCTTTCTTAAAGAACAAGACCACCGCACTTCTGCTCCACGCCTCTGGAGTAGTGCCACCATGGAGGACGGAATTGAAGAGCTTCTGAAGGACTTCAAGTACCGGTGTTCCACCCGCTTTCAGAAGCTCCGCTGTAATTCCATCCTCGCCTGGGGCCCTGCCGTTTTTAAGGTGCTGGAGAGCCATTCTAATCTCGCTTAGACTGACGTCCGGGATATCATCGGAATAGTGTCGGATAAGACTTGCTCTTGGATCGTTACTCACACTTGCGTGTGGCTCCAACGATGATGTGTACAGCTGCCCATAGAACCTCTCAATCTCACTCAAAATCTCAGGTATCCCGGAAACGATGCTGCCACACTCAGTCTTCAGCCTTGACAGTTGGCTCTTACGGGCAGACAGATCTCTGGCAAAGACTTTGGAGCCCTGGTTCCGCTCGATCGCTTCTTTAATACGAGCAGTATTAAAGTTGCGTAAGTCTCGCCGCATGCATTTGGAGATCTGTCTGTTCAGTTGCCTGTATGCTGTCAAATCTGTTGACGATTGCAGCCTCATCTCCCGTCTAACAGCCATGAGATTAAGAGTGTGATCGGAGAGTTTTTGTGTTCTTCTGCGGCGGGTCTTGCAGAACTTAGCTCCGACCGCATGGACAGTTTCCACGAGCTTGTCATTCATATCGTCCACTGCATTGCAATCTTGTAGGCACTGAAAGCGGTTGTGTAACTCGAGCTGAAAGTTTTCGGGATTTTGGAATAGAGAACGCGGGGGGACGGAGCGTTGATTTCATTAGACGAGACCTCTCCAACTTAACGTTTAGGTTCAGTGTGCCTCTAACCATTCGGTGATCGCTGCCAGTTTTAACCCTTGCGATCACTGAGACATCACTGAACAGTTGGCGTCTGGTCGTCATAATGAAGTCAATCTCATTTTTTGTCGAACCGTCGGGCTCGACCAGGTCCACTTCCTGTGGGGCCGCTTCTGGAAGAAAGAGTTCATCATAAAGAGTCCCTCTTTCTCCATAAAGTCGGCCAGCTGCTTGCCCCTTCGGTTCTGTTGCCCTACTCCAAATTTCCCTAACTTCAGCTCACCGCTTTCTCTTGTGCCTAGTTTTGCGTTGAAGTCTCCCATCAACACCGTGTAGTGGGTTTTGGAGGAATGCATGGCTTTGGAAATATCCTCATACATTTCCTCTACCTCCTCATCGGAATGTGCCGAGGTTGGTGCGTAAACCTGTATGACCTTCAGCGAATACCGTTTGGTGATTCTGAGTATCAGGTACGCGACCCTCGTCGACACACTCCCAATCTTTACAACGTTGTTGACGAGAGACTTGTGGATGATAAATCCGACACCTCCTTGGGACAGATGGTCGCCCTCCCGGTGATAGAACAAGTTGCCGGATTCGAGAATTACCGTGTCTTCCCCCTCTCTTCGGACCTCGGATAATCCTATAATACTTCAGCGCAACTTGTCTATCTCTTCTTCCAGCTCCAGGATCTTGTCGTCAGTCCTCAGTGTGCGTGCGTTAAATGTTGCCAGGTCGAGTCGTCGTAGGTGGCAACCGAACCTCCACCGGAGATTCTTAGCACCCCCCTGCCCCGCCGTTACCATGGTCGCCACCGTTGCCAGGAATAGCGGGTCCGCCGGGGACTGGGGGCCGTCTATTTGTGTAATTGTTCATGGGGGGTATATTGCCATAGTTGCCACGCTTGGCGAGCGGGTTGGCAACCGCAGTTTTTTTTCGTACAGTTGCTGTTATCAGGAAGATTCTGCTGCCCATCTCCTGCCTGTCTCCCTCTGTCGCCTTTTACGACACCCACGGGAAGATATGGGGTAGTGGATATTCTCAACCGCCACTACACGGCATGACACCGCCACTACATGGCACAAACACGCTGTCGGCTAATTTAATATTAATTAATATTACCTTAAGAGTTAAAAATTATCATTTTGTAAAGTTTATTAAAATTGAAAAAGAATAATTATATAATAAATAGTCATTATTTTATAATAAAAAAAATTTGCAAAGTTTTATCTTCTCATTATACCATATCTAATTCCTGTCGTAATCTGTTTAAACAAAATAATTTCGATGTTTCTCATCTGCCAGGCGTCCCTTTTTTTAATTTTGTACATTGTTTGTACTTTGTTCATGCTTTTTTCATGCTTTTTTTGTTCATGTATTGTATTGTATGTAAATATCTTTTTCTTTCGTTCACGCAAACCCAAACGGCTCTTTTCAAAGTCACCGAAAGTATCCCATTGCATATGTCATACAATCTTTCTAGCGGTAGGTATGCGTTCTGTGTGCTTTGTTAAATACGTCCTTGATAGCACTGAATATGAAACTGAAGAGTGGAGACAGATCAAGATTGGTGTATTTTTATAAAACTGCTAAAAAAAAAACATATCTTTGGCTTGCCCTAGTTTGGAGCCCTAGCTTCGCAACTGATCGTAAAGTTTATCTGGCTTTTCGCAAAGTCGCCTCTTATGACACCCACAGGGCGAAGTAAGTAGATTCTGGCTACCCTTACGCTGTCACCACGAGAGTCGTGTAGGTTGTTCAACGAACGCCTTCCAGTGAAGGCATACAATACAAATTATAAACATAACATTCAACATGAAGTTTATTGAATTGAAATATGAAATAAAAATATTTCACGGCAAATGATTTATTTAATATAATATTTTTCAAGCACAAGTGCAGCAAAATATACGATAAAAGTTTAATTTTAAATGTTTACAATCCATTATTTTCCATGTTTCAAACAATTGTTTTCAGACACGTAGAGCCTAATTTTAGTATAATAAAAATATTTTCTTTTGAGTAAAATTGCTTTGCAGTAGCGCCATCTACTTCATTTTACATTACATATCACAAAAATTGATTGACTCTCAAAGTGGTACGTAAAATAGCACGTTAGGTGGTCTAAACGCGACTAATTTAAATAATATTCTGCTCCATAAATTTGAGCGTTATCTATTTTATGCCTACACATTTTAATACTTGACAGATTCCATTGACCCTTATCATCAGGAACATTGAAATTCGTGTAACGTGACGCAATATGCAACTGGCTGTTGTAATAATATATTCAATACGATAATTTATTGTTATTTGACGTTGGCAAAAATATAACCGTTTAAGTCCAAAACCAAAGAAAAAAATAATTTAGAATGTGTGTGTGTGTGTGTGCGTGTAGCGGGCAGTACAGTGGACGCGGGTCAGGAGCTCGTGGCGCTGGGCGCGTGCGGCGCACTGGGCGCACTGGCGTGCTGCATGCCGGCCACCGGCTCCTTCACGCGCACCGCGCTCAACCACGCGTGCGGAGTGCTCACGCCCGCCGGCTCCTTCTTCAAAGGTCACTCTCACTCGCTCTCACTATCGCTCTCTCTCACTCTCACTGTCGCTGCATGCCGGCCACCGGCTCCTTCGCGCGCCGCGCTTAACCACGCGTGCGGCGTGCTCACGCCCGCCGGCTCCTTCTTCAAAGGTCACTCTCACTCGTTCTCACTATCGCTCTCTCTCACTCTCACTGTCGCTGCATGCCGACCACCGGCTCCTTCACGCGCACCGCGCTCAACCACGCGTGCGGAGTGCTCACGCCCGCCGGCTCCTTCTTCAAAGGTCACTCTCACTCGCTCTCACTATCGCTCTCTCTCACTCTCACTGTCGCTGCATGCTGGCCACCGGCTCCTTCACGCGCACCGCGCTCAGCCACGCGTGCGGAGTGCTCACGCCCGCCGGCTCCTTCTTCAAAGGTCACTCTCACTCGCTCTCTCTCACTCTCACTGTCGCTGCATGCCGGCCACCGGCTCCTTTACGCGCACCGCGCTCAACCACGCGTGCGGAGTGCTCACGCCCGCCGGCTTCTTCTTCAAAGGTCACTCTCACTCGCTCTCACTATCGCTCTCTCTCACTCTCACTGTCGCTGCATGCCGGCCACCGGCTCCTTCACGCGCACCGCGCTCGACCACGCGTGCGGAGTGCTCACGCCCGCCGGCTCCTTCTTCAAAGGTCACTCTCACTCGTTCTCACTATCGCTTTCTCTCACTATCTCGGTCGCTGTATATATATATATATATATATATATATATATATATATATATATACATACACACACAATATGTAACGTAATTAACGCAAACCCTACACAATTAGTATATTATGTTATAATCATAATACATACACTGAATTTTTAGTTAAAAATTTTTATGCACTGATTATTTATCAAATTAGTTATACTAATTCCGGAAGAATGTTGTGGTCACAGTACAAATCCACGAACGCAAAGACTTTAACGTCCTTGAAATAAAGTTCATTTTTATTTTTATTGAATTACAGAATTAGTAATAATACAAATAAAACTGCACTCTTAAAAGTCGCATTTCCTTAAGTTACGGTCCATTTCAGTTTATTTTGACTGTACAGATTAAGTGTGACTGTAATTTACGTAGTTTTAATTATTTTTGGGATAAAAAATTACCTATATTAAGAATGATAGGAATTACGATTCTGACCAAACTACTATCTCAAAGTGCGTGAATTATGTTACATGTTGTATATATATATATATATATATATATATATATATATATATATATATATATATATATATATATATATATATATATATGTTAATATATATTGACTACCTCGTTGGTCTGGTGGTTGTAGTAGTGAGATTGCTGATCATGAGGTCCTGGGTTTGAATCCCGGGTCGGGACAAAAATTATTGAGTTTTTCAGTCAAGAAATTCTCAGTAGCTGCCCGGAGTCAGGAAGTTGGCGGTGTCCCCGTGCTTCGGAAATAACATAAAGCCGTTGGGCTTGCACCTGATCTCTCTCCGATCGTGTTGGTTTACCGTCCTATCGGATTATGAGAGTGACGGAATGAAAAAAAGAGAAGTGCTTGCGCATTATACGCTTGCACATTTGGGCAATATAATCCTGTCTTACGCCGATGGCTAGTCTCCGTTGAGGCTGGCCACCGTGGCCGAAATTCGATCTGGAAGACATTATCATATATAATATAACACCACAGTCACGCTCTATTTTTATATCGTAAAAATTATTATAATTCTAATAATTATTACGATAATGTTGTAGTGTTAAGGTAAAATATACTTATCGATGTATCGTTTTTGCTTTAGCGTGCCTTGTGCTTCTGGCGGTGACGTTGTTAACTGATGCATTTTACTTCATCCCACGTGCGGCTCTAGCCGGTATCATCATGGTCGCAATGATGTCTATCATCGACTTCTCTATTGTTAAGATCCTGTGGATGAACAGCAGTAAGTATATTGTAATATTTTTCATTTCATTACGATAAGCATCGTCTTCATTCCTTCACCCACCATCTGTCCTCTGCTAAACATAGAATTATCTCAAGGAACGCCACAAATCATAGTCTTGAGTCACCTGCATTCATTGACTTCCTGAATATCTTACCAGATTGCCACTACATCCATTAGTGTGTTGCTGTGTTGTCGCCATTACCTTGCGTTTGCACCAAAAATATCCAACTTGTGATGTTTAGAAACTTGTATAACATAAGTCACACAACATGTGTTGTAGATACTTGCGTTTGCATTCTACGAAACTGAATCTTTACGATAAATTTTAAGATTTTTTGCAAAAGGAGACAATTCTTTTTGGACTCACTACAAATGGTGCTGTTTATTATTGGTATTACATTTATATAAGAAGGTCTATCGGAATAATAAAATCTTACAAAAAGAGGAATGTATTGATAAACATGTTCCGGTTAAACTTTAAATGAAAATAAAAATTTCTGCATTTTGTATGAAAAAAATAAATTTTACGTTGGTATGCGGTTTATTAGAGGTTTTTAGTAAGTAAAGAGAGGTTTCATTCAAACCTAGTTTTAATCTTATTTTATGAAGTATCGTGTAACATCATGAAACGAAACGTCGTAAATACTAATAATAAAAAATAAAAATACGATATCGAAACATAATATCGATGTTTTACGCGACACCAGTATCATATAAATAATATCGATTCCATTAGGTATCCAAGTAATTTTTAAGATGACGACCACGACTTTTTCACGACACCACGCAGTGTGGGTAAGGTGGATCATCTGACCATTGGGCAGCTTAATCTGGGGCGGGGTGAGGTGGCTACGAAGAAGCTGCCTGCACTGGCATGCAGCTTGTGCCTGGACCTTGTCCTTGTCAAGGAGCAGTGGGCCCAAGCCGAAGACTTTATTCAGTTTAGCGCGGAGCCCCAGGCAGGGATTTCAATCCCATGGGAGAGTATAAGTGTAGATGGACTGCCCAATTTAAGTAACACTCACTGCGTGGTTTGCCATGTGAAGAACTACGGTCTCTACCTTATCTCTGCGCACTTTAAGTACAGCGACTCCATTAAATAACAACTTCAACATCTAGAGACCGTACTAGACCAGTTCAAGGCCAAGCGCGTTGTCATCAGAGTTGATTGCAACGCGCATTCGCAACTCTGGTACAGCGACAAGACAAGGCGTTGTTTGTGCCTTGTAGCAGAGCATCGTAGGAGGATGATGGAAGACTTCATCATGTCAACCTGGCCAACGTGGAAAGACAACCGTCTACGTTCGTTGGAGTCATGGGTGAGTCTAACATCGACCTTACCCTCGCAACTAGAGGTGTCTCAGTGTCAGGGTGGCGAGTGCTGGATTGCGCCAGCATGAGCGATTATCGCCTCATTACTTATAAGGTTGAGAGGGAGCGCCATGCGGAGCTTGCGGGGCCGGTGGAGGTGCCTGCTCGTTTCAATGCCCGGGGGGTTAACTGGCGCTATTTTCGCGGTACAATCACGTAAGAATGGGTAACCTGAAAACCGCGACTCTGCACGGAGATCGTCGCCCGATCTGCGGAGGACGTGTTGGGGAATGCGCGCCTGAGGTGGGAAAGCGGCTGTGAATGGTGGACGCCTTGATAAAATGAGGAAGTAAGTATGTTATGCGAGAAGAGCGTGGGAGAAGACAGAAAAAAGGGAGGCAGGTATGGAGTCAGCTATGGACCGCTTCCATAGTGTGAGAGCGAGATCCCGACAGATGATGGGCGATACAGAGCTGGCCCGCTTTTAGAAAATAGCTGAAACAGGCAACATTTTTACGTTGGTAGAACGCACAATGCAACGGACGGCATGCTTACCAAGTGGCCAATGGGAGTTGCCGTCGTGCCGTAATGTTGGGAGGTTCGAGGAATAAATTAAACGTCTAGCGGTCTTGAATGTAGGTTTATTACTAACTCTAAATGTCTATTAGGCTATCATATATATAGCTACATGAGCATACACTAAACACACACTACACGCCCATCGGTAAAAAAAGAAAAAAAAATTGAATTACAATTTTTTTTTCAATAAAACAAAACTTGGTGTAAGATTCAAAAAATTATTAACTATTTAAAATATTAAAATTCCTATCCTATATTAAACTTATAACATAATAAAATAAAATAAAATATCGTAAACACTGTAATTTGAAAAAAAAAATAACTTTCTATCTCTTTATTTAAATTTATTAAACTGTCATCAAATTTAAGTCTAATCTAAGTTTTTGTTTTAAATTGCTTTTAGGTTGCCTAACATAACTGCATAACATTTAAAATTTTCATATATAACTATTAATTCACTAGACACGAAAATACAGTTAAAAAAAATAAAGTTATCAAAATTATTATAAGGCGTATATAAGGTTGTTTACAATATTATTATTTTCTTAAACTTAAACTATATTTTAAATTTAAACCTTAAGATACTTTAAAGGAAAAAAACCCAATTCCATTAAAATAGTAAGTATCCTTATTTTTAAGTAGATAAACTTCAACATACTTATTTAAATCACACTGTAGTGTGAGTGTATAAACATTACTAGCACTATGCTTACATAAGGGCCCTACTAAATCTAAGTAAACTATATCAAAGCGGAATATCCCGTATGGGTTATAACTTATAACCATTGGTTCCTTTATATATTTATTTAAGTGTTAATATATAGTAAACACTTGTCACCTCGATTTACATAATTAGGTAACGTTACTTATTATGTATATATAGTCTCTAACTCCCGTCAAAAGAATCTTTTCTTTGTATTGTTTATCATTCGCTTATTAGCGCGTGACCGTTAGTTGGCAAAATATGATAGTCGTTTAATATAACATGTTTTGTCACACGGCGGTTCTAGTGCAACATAATCATAATAACATCGAGCATTTTTAAATGCTCGATGCATAATAATTAATCATAACAACAGGGATCAATTACAAGTTACAATCTCAGCCGCGTAAGCGGTTTGTGACACCTTTGTTTTAATTTCTAAGTATAATCATGGGAACGGTTTTTCGCTTACGTCGTATGATGATACCTAGTTTTAAAAATGCATTAAAATTATATCGTAAATGAAATGAATTTAACTTTCCCAATGGTTTGTACCTCTAAATATAGATTGTTATATTCAATTTTAAATTCATTTTGTAAAAGTATTTTTTTTACATAGGTATATTAACAAAAAATCATTAATTAAGTTATTTATAATTTCGAAAACTTATTTTTTTCATGACATGAAATTTATATATATATATAAAAAACACTACTAGGTACACAGCTCAAATTTGTTTTACAAATATTTATTAACATTAAAAATAAACAATTTTATTTCAACCAGATAACATAATTTTAGGTTCCGTTGCCTTTTATAAAGAAAAACGTAAAAAGAATACTATTACATTAATAAATTTATAGTAATAGTGAACTTTAATGAAGTGAAACTTTATGAGCAAAATATAAACCAAATATAGTTTAAAATGTACAAATTGTATATAAAAAACATATAATAGAAAATTCAACCAGAATTATTGTAAATGTAAATTAATGTGTCTAAATATGAAAAAAAAATTCATAAATTCATAAACAAATGTGGTTAAACAATTACGCGCACAATACATACACACACACAACACATTTTGCGTAATTGTGTAAATCGATCCCTATAGTTATTAAATGTGTAACTCGTTAGTCGCATTTTGGGAAGCATTAATGCAAAATAACTACCTATCTCACTATTAGATTATCATACATTTATCACACTTTTTAATTTGCTCGGAAATTCCCTTATAATCCTGTATTTTTGTCGATTAATAGGCCCTTTTTCCATAATTCTTGTACGTACTTTATTTATTCCTAATATTTTGACCTTTAGCTAGCTCTCTTTCTCTCTATTCACTTATATGTTTATTTATTTATTCGATACCGGGAATCGGAGTATTAATTCATTTCATTTATATTTTATTTCGTGATTTTTATCACGCGGGTACTTTATAAATATGGGCCCCCCATTTATTTGGGTATTATATTACATTTTCGTAACATTCATTTCATTTTATTGGTACATATTTTTTTTTAATTTTATATCAAGGTAAAATTTACCTTGGGTTGTGCGCACAACCTTGAGGTCTATGTTTTTTAAGTCACTTTAAAAGGACTCCAACAATTGTCGCAGAGGAAAACTAAGTTCGCACCATGATCCAACGAAGGATGTGACCTCAATGTACCATTAATAAGGGTAACAAATTTAAGACTTCTCTGGTCCCTAACAGTACTAATATGAGTAAACTCAGTTACATCACTTGTACTGAAGGCGTTGTTCCCTAGTACCCGTTACTCCGATTTCATCGTCCAATCACGGAAACATACCCTGCTCGAGGACTATATGCTATACCAGTGATGAACGTTCCCGTATCTCTCCATCATTTACTTCTCATGGTCATCTTTTTTATTATCTTCGTAAATCTTTGTCTGTATCGGATACTTTTATATTCATTCAATCTCATTCCATCTCCTTTCAATTATGCATATCGGTTTATTAACATAACCAGAGTTTGGGCCCTAAACATTGGCTAAGATAATATCCGATATCCTAATTCCTTCATTCCAATTACTAGCAAAATTACTGCATAGTTCCTGACTATTTATCTAAATATCAACTATATCATCCTGCATACTATTATATTCCTTTCTTTGCCGAAATCTGTCTTCAACTTTCATACATTCACATCAAAACCTCAACATTCTTCAAGAACAAAAAAATTAACACAACCACAATTATTCATTGGTTGATCTAGCCGATTACAAAAATAGTTAAGCTAATGTTTTACTGTTACTTTTTTACTTAACTATCTTTCTTTTCAGATATAAACACCATGCCAATATATTTGAACACAACCTATACAATATACAATTTCCTTTCTATAATTTAACACTTTTTTTTCTATCCTTTCTTTTA